AATATCTATAATCTAGAAACTTATTTATATTAAGAGAGATAATAAGCTCTTCTATAAACTATATATAAATTAGGAGAATAATACTAATCTTTAAAATTAAATATTTTCCTTAGAAGATATTAACTTAACTAAAGAACTCAGAATAATTCTAAATAGTATTTTAGAACTAATATCTAATTAGTTAAATCTATTATAAAATAATTAATCTAGCTAATAATTAGCTATTTAGAAATAATATCTTATTTATATTCTTAACTTTATAACTAAGACTATAAGAAGAATTATAAATAATTAGTATAAGTAGTTAGAGCTCTCTATAATATAAGATATTATACTATATAGTAAAGAGTATATTTTTAGATAATTAATTTATTACTTAGTAGTTAATATCTAAAAATAAAAGCCTAATTTAGAAGTTTTATATTTAGTAATAAGAAGCTATAGATAATTTCTACTAGAAATACTAATTATTAAAAAGTAGTATAATAGAGGATTTACTTCTCTTAAGAACTTTTAAAGAGAATATAGTAAATAATATTTTATTATAGATTTCTTCTACTTTAGAGATAATAAGTATTTCTTAGAATATTATTAGACTTTCTTTATATTTAATAAAAAGAAATATATTTTTAACTTTATAGATATTTAGTTAATTAATTAGTTTTATTAATTTAAATATATAGTAATAAGCTTTATAGTCTTTAATCTTAAGATAAATCTCTATTTATTCTTTATTACTATCTACTTCTAAATCCTATTATAAAAGAATATTTACTTTTATAATCTTTTATCTATCTTCTACTTATAAATAAAGATTAGATTATAGAAGGAGATAGAGATTATACTAGGAGATATCTTCTTAAAGTATAAGAGTAAAGTAGATAAGAGTCTGATTATAAACTAAATAATAATCTAACTTTTATATATACTAAGATTTATCTCTTAGAATATTTTTAGTAAAAGCTTACTTAATTAAGTAAGTAGAATTATAATAAGTATTATAGTAAATAAATTAGGAATTATAAACTTAATACTAGACTTTATACTAGTATAATCTTTCTTTAGGAATAATATCAGAAGATTATATAGCTAAGAAAGTAGAAATAACTATTTATAATTAGTTACTATAACTAGTCTAGGGATACTAGCTCTTATTATATTTTCTCTAAATAGATCTCTAGCTAGCTATATAGATATAGATATATCTAGCTTATTAATTAATTACTCTTTAGTTTAGCTTTTTATAGATTATCTCTAGGAAATCTATTTATTTTAAGTTATCCCTATAGACTAGATTACTAAATAGAAAAAGAAGAAAGATAGAGATTATTCTAAGATAATTATTATAGATATAACTAGGATTATCTTACTTATATCTATCTTTAATAATAAATATACTCTTAATAATCTAGATTCTAGAATAAAATAGATAATTAAAGATTCTATTATATAGATTAATCTTATAAATAGAGATAAAGAGATTTCTAAAATCCTACTAGCTAAAAACTAAGCTTTTATTTATTATTAATATACTTTATTATAGTATAATAGATATAGATTAAATACCTCTATATATACTACTAAGGAATTAATTAATTCTACTTTAATAGAGATAGAATTACTAAAGTTCTAGAGAATAATCTACTATTAGTATTTAGAATAGAATAATTTTTATAACTTTATATTTTAAGAAGATACTAAAACTAGGTAAATATAATATTTCCTAGGAAATTCTATAGATCTAATATTTAATTAGTTCTATTATTTAGTTAGTATATATTTAGAAAATATCTTTTCTAAATCTTATAAGTATAATAAAATCTCTTATATAATAGATATTATATATATTATAGTTATATCTATTAGGCTTATAGATCCTAATATTTAGAAATAAGTTTTTAAACTAATTAATTAAATATATAAAGAGAGAGCTCTAGTACTAACTACTCTATTATAAGCTAATTAAATAAAGACTTAAGATAAGAAGATATAATAGAGAGAAGTAAGATATTAAGAATAAGTAGATAGATAAGGAATTATAATAGGGGAAAATATTACTAGTAGAAGAGTAACTAGAGAAAAGATACTATAGTATTTTAATTTAATTAATTAAAATTCTTTTTCTTTTATATAATTTAATCTAGTTTAGTATATACTCTCTATTAGATTAATATATTACTAGAGTAACTTTAAGCTTATAAGATTTATTATAATATATCTAGAGAGATATAAGAGTATATATAATTTCTATAGTTAGTTAGAGTAATTTATTATATACTATTTAAATAGTAAATTATTTACTACTCTAAAAAAAAAAAACTATCTTTACTTTTAAATTATTCTTTATTTTTAAAATTATAATCTTTAACTTATTATTCTATAACTAGTTTAGCTTATATAATAATCTAGATAGTTTTATTTAATTAATTAAATATAGAAGTCTCTAACTAAATACTAAATATATATATAATTAATTATAGTTATTAGCTTTAATTATATAGCTTAATTATAATTTCTCTTCTTTAACTAATATTAATATTATAACTATAGATCTACTCAGTCTTTAGTTATAGTATTATTAGTTAGAAAATTCTACTAGTACTTAATAACTAGTCTAGCTCTATAGCTAGAATAGTAACTTAATTAATTATCTTTATAATCTATCTTATCTATAAGTATATACTTTAGAAAAGCTTTCTAATATTAGATCTAAAATACTTATAACTATATAATTTATAATAATTATATTTTATTTTTATTACTAAAGAATTAAATAGAATAATATTAATAAGAGTATTATACTAAATAGTTTTCTTATAAAGAGGTTTCTATATATAGTTAGATATTATTTATAGAAGATATAAAAGAAATATAAGAGAAAATTAAATAATTTACTAATTAAACTATAGAATATAGTTTTAGAATATAACTAATAAAGAGAGAATATTATATTATAAATTTTATTTCTATATATAGATTATATATAGAACTCTATTTTTTATTATTAATTAAAATAGAATTATTTAAATCTTATAATAATTCTTATAATTTATAAATATAAATTATTACTAAGTATTAATAATCTATTAATATATATATATATTTATTTCTTAGATAAAAATATCTTTTTAAATAGTTATTAATAATATTATCTATATATCTATTATTACTAGCTTTATAATATTTATATATTAATAGTAATTTATATTATATAGCTTAAGATAATCTAATTATACTATTTAGAATAATATCTAATTAGTTTAACTCTAATCTATTCTAGATCTCTATCTAGTATAAGTTATCTAACTATTATATTACTATAAAAAAATTAGTAAGAATTAGAAATAATAAAATAAAAGTATATATATTAAAATACTATTTTAATACTAATTATTAGTTATAAAAACTAATCTTAAAAATAAAACTAATAAAAGAGAAATAATATATTATAAATAAAATATATATTACTAGTATTATATAATATACTCTATCTTTTCTATTAATAAGAAATAGATTACTCTAGATTATTAATAAGTTTAAATAATTCTTAATTAAACTTATTCTAAATTATTAATAAACTATTATAAGCTCTTAGTATATATATATATTTATTTTACTAAATAGAATATTTTTTTAAATAGTTATTAATAATATTATCTATATATCTATTATTACTAGTTCTATAATACTTATATATTAATAATAACTTATATTATATAATTTAAAATAATCTAATTATACTATTTAGAATAATACTCTAATTAGTTTAATTCTAATCTACTCTAAACTCTATCTAGTATAAGTTAACTAACTATTATAATATAATAAAAATATTTTAAAGATCTTTTAGATTTAAAATACTTATAGCTATATACTTTATAGTAGTTATACTCTGTTTTTATTATAAAAGAATTAAGTAATATAGTATTAATTAGAGAATTATACTAAATAGTCTTTTTATAAAAAGATTTCTATATATAGTTAGATATTATTCTAAGAAGTATAAAGAAATAATAGAAGAAAATTAGTATATTTACTAACTAAACTATAAAATCTAATCTTAAGAATATAACTATATAATAGTTAGATAACTTATACTAAATAAAGTTTAAAGTAGATTAGAATTAAACTAATTAGAGAGTTATTCTAAATAGTATAATTAGATTATTATAAATTATATAATATAAATTATTATTAATATATAAATATTATAGAACTAGTAATAATAGATATATAGATAATATTATTAATAATTATTAAAAGAATATTTCTAGCTAATAAAATAAATATATATATATATACTAGATAGCTTATATAAGCTTATTAGTAATCTAGAGTAAATCTAGTTTTAGATTATATAGGTTTACTAATAATCTAGAGTAATCTATTCTCTATTAGTAAAAAAAAGTAAATAGAGTATATAATACTAGGGATATTTCTTTATTTATAATAAACTAATAGAAAGAGAATATTATATTATAAATTTAATTAATATATACTATTATATATAGATTCTACTTTTTACTCTAATTATAACTAGATTATTTAAATCTTATAATAATTCTTATAATCCTTAAGCTTAGATTATTACTAAGAACTAATAATTCTCTAATATATATATATATTTATTTCTATAATATAATACTCCTTTAGTTAATTATTAATAATATTATCTATACTTTTATTAGAACTTACTCTATAATACTTATATATTAATAGTAACTCCTATTATATAGCTTATAATAATCTAATTATATTACTCGGAATAATACTCTAATTGGTTTAATCCTGATCTACCCTAGACCCCGTCCAGTATAAGTCATCCAACCGTCACATTGTGATCTTACTGATCGAGAATTAAGTCTGGTAAAATAAGAGAAACGTAAGCCTCTCTTTTCAGGTTTAATTAATAACTGCTATGGAATATGTGAGGTTTGTCTAAGCAGGGAGTGAATGTCTTGTTACTGGTCCCAACCCAAACTTTTGACACTCTTCAATTCTCATTTCTTCTCACTGTCAATCGAGATATCAGCGCCCTTCTCCTCCTGAGCCTCAATTACAGATCCGGGCATGTCGCTCCAATTGCCAACGCGGGTGCGAGTGTCCCAATCAACCACATCATCTGGGTGCACAGCAGGACCAGACAGGCTGTACGTCGGTGGCCACACATAGTTGCAGAACCAGAACAGAGCCATGGAGATGACGATTCCGAAGAACCAGCTGAAGTTGTACGTGTAGGGCTGGACATCTGGGACGCTGGGCGCGATCTGGTGGATGAAGCCGGGTAGGTTGGGGGCCAGAGCTCCCAGCCAGGCGACGGCGGCTCGCCAGTTGTAGCCGCCGGTGAACCAAAACTTACCGCCACGCGCGTAGAGGTGGCGCACGTCGAGGGACCGGCGGCGGACCAGCCAGTAGTCGGAAAGCAGGATGCCGCTGATGGGGCCGATGAGGCAAGGGTAGGCATTGAGGAAGTCTGCGTGTCCATCGGATTAGAGGCAACAACTAAAAGGTCATGATATGATCGTCAAACTTACTGTAGAAACTTCCCGAGCTGTAGACAATCTTCCAGGGAACAATGATGATGGAGATGACTGCCACAAGGAGCGAACCGCGGATGTTGTTGATATATCGGGGGAAGAAGGAAGTCAGGGCGATGGAGACGGTGATTGTGTTGGCCGAGAGATTCACACCGATGGTGGCGATGATCCAGACAATCGCGGCGAAGAAGACAGCAGCTCGGTTCTCCCACTTTTCAAGAATCAAGGCAGGGTTCCAGAACGACTCGCCGTAGAGCTGGATACAGGCTGAGCAGGTAATAACGGAGCAAATGACGGGAATCATTCCTGTCAAGGGCAGAGCTATGGCTTGCATCCAAGCACCGCCTGCGGTTGATTGTTAGTGGTTGCTCTTTAAAACTGTCCATGGTCTAGGGAGGACTTACGCGTTGTCTTAGCATAACGTGAGAAATCCGGAACTATGACAAAGAAGATTAGTTATTGTGCCAGACGTGACGAGGAGTGGGAAGACCTACTGTTGCAGGCAACTGTTGCGAAGAGGCCAGACGCATTTCCGATGGCCTTGAGCCGCGCCCAGCCTTTATCCCATTCACTGCCTTCCAGATGTGCAGCCTGGACAACAAGGGGGCCTCCGTTCTTAGTGACGACGAGCGCCCAGATCATCATACCAATGAAGACCATGGGGGATATGATAGCCTTCATCACAAAGTACCACTTGAGCTTGTAAATCGGAATAAGAGTCAGAGGCGTCTGGATTATGATGAGAATAAAGTAGCAAAGCAGGTCGGCACTCGTGATTCCAGCGCTCTCCGGCAACGTGTTGGGGATGTCGTCAAAGTCGGGCCACACGGCTCGCAGCATCTGGTGGATGCATTGGGCAATACTCTGCGGCAGAAGTATAGTCAGTATATCAGTAGGTACCTCTTTGTTGACCCTGCGAGTTTTATACGCACAAGATTGAGAATTCCAAGCCACATCATGGCGGTAAAGGACCGAACAAGAACGGGGAACCATCCGAACCGCATACCCCATGACATCCGAGTAGACATGGGGAAACCAATTCTGTATTTGGCCGCGATGTGGCCACTCATGACACACACCAGACCAGTAATGAACATGCCGACAAAGGTCAGAGGGACAATCTCTCGAAGAGTGAAGCCCTGGGCGACCATGCTGGCGGCGAATTCCCACGTTGCAATAGCGAACTGGTCCGAAGCCCAGTAGCTCATATAGTCCCACGCTCTCCATGTTCTTTGCTCTGGCGGAATCGGGTCGAGATCTAGAAGGCTGTCAGCGGAGATTCCCAGGCCGCTGGAGGCGGGCAGAACTGCACCTTTGTTTGACCACACGGTTCCATCTGAAAACAATGTTTCTTCTTGGTCAATCTTAACAGTTTCGTTGAAAGCTCGCGCCTTTGCCTTGGTTCCGGGCGCGTCCCAAATGGCACGCATATTGGTCTTCCATTGTCCCAGGTTAGGAAGGGGGATAGTCATGAACGTCTCCCGACGAGCCATGGTTGATTTATCTTTAATATTCGATGAATTTAATTTTTTAGAATGAGTTAAGATGGATAGCCGGAGTCTTTGTGTCAATCTGTAATGTTCCTCGCATAGCCGATATATATATAGTGGTGATGCGATGGCGAACGTACGGAGCATCCGTTTATCCAGTTATACGCTCGTTGCTCACAACTAAGCTGCGATATCCCAGATAGCAAGGCCCCCAATGAGAAAGATAGTGCGGCAGCCCGTGGTCTGGCAAGATGGCAGCGGATCCTCTTGTCATGTTGATCCGGGGGGAAGGCTGTGTTAAACCGAATGTGGAAGTGCGAGACGCCGAATTTTGAGACCCCACCTCGAGTTCGGAATGATACCGGAGTAGGAGAGGCCGGTCCGAGGCCATGACTTGCGAGTCGTGCGCGGTTGGTGTGGAGCTTTCATCCTGCCAAAGAGAAGATCTCTATTCATCCTTTGGCATTCGAGACTTATGGATCGCGTTCTTGGCGGGAGTTCGGCAAGAAGAGTCGTGTCTCAGGCTCGACAAGTGAGGTTCAACATGGCTTTGCTATCTACGGCCCCAATGAGGTCGTCGGCTCTCAGAAAGATTGAAATCAATTGCGATATGGGAGAGGGTTTCGGGAGATGGAAAATGGTATCCTATTGAAATTGCATTGGAAGAACCAGAATGCTAACACTCTGCAGGCACCCGACGATGAGCTCATGGCCCTCGTTGATGTGGCCAACATCGCCTGCGGATTCCACGCCGGCGATCCCTCATTGATGCGCAAGACGGTCAGCCTCGCCAAGCTGAAGAAGGTTCGAGTCGGAGCTCATCCCGGACTCCAAGGTACCTTTTCAACCACAGGAAAGAACAAACATTGATGACTGGGATCGAGCTAAGTATCAGCACAGATCTCGTTGGGTTTGGGCGGCGGCGGATGGAAATCGACCCAGAGGACCTATATTCCATGGTACTGTACCAAATTGGCGCCCTCAAGGCCTTTCTGGACGCTGAGGGAATGCCCATGAACCATGTCAAACCCCACGGAGAGCTGTATTTCTACATGCAGAGGGACCCTGCCATCATGGAGGCCGTCATCCGGGCTACTGCTGTCTACGGCGTTCCCATGTACGGAGCCAAATCGGAGGTCCAGAAATCCATGTGCGCCAAGTACGGCCTCTCCTTCATCGAGGAGGCATATGTGGACTTGCAGTATAGCAAGGAGGCGAAGCTGCTGTCTGTTGCGCAGAGCAACGTGGCCACGCCGCAAGATATCTACACAAGGGCCTTTTCCATTGCAACTAATGACAATATCATAGATAATGAGGGGAATCTTGTTACGATTGGGTTCAAAGGTCAACCGTTTTCATTTTGCATTCACTCGGATATGCCGACAGCATTCGAGAATACAAAGGCGTGTCGAAAAGCAGTTGATGAAGTTAATTCAAAACTAGGATGGAGTTGATGAATAAAAAAATATATTCATGATCGAATTGTAATTCTTGGAAAACGAACATATTAATCATCCACCGTTGATCATTCACCTCAACTTGGAGATAGTAGGTACATGTGAATGCGTGACTCGGAATAATTACCACTTCCACATTACAACTTGTCGTATGTTATGTATCGCCTATTGCATGGAATTCTGATTAAGAATGGGAGCCAAGTGATAAGATACCAGCAGCATGAATCACGCCACCGTCTATCTCGTCAGTATCGCAGCTGGTCCGATCACACGTTTTCATCACAATGTAAGACATCGAATGATGAAGTCCAAGGTATCTAGTAAACTTGAAATTCACACTGGAGTCATCTGAATTCAGCTCTCCATGATAAATGTTACATCAGTTTTGTCAAGTTAAATCGCCGCTTAGCCCCTTGCGGCTATAACTACAAACACTCTAGTACAGACGTAGGACGGAGCCTCTTTTCTCAGAATTCATCCCCCGCTTCCCCAACCGAACTTATCCGATAAGACGCCTGTCTATATTACGAGTAAAAATTACGCTCGAATGGAGATAACATGAGACCCGCCAATGGTGCCAAGTGCACACCCAACATAGGCTCGAGACCCTTTTCTCCTTTCAGTTTAGCCATCATTCAGCTATCTATCAGTCCTATCGCGGGTAATCTATATCTGGTGACAGTATCACACAGTGAATTGGGTACATCGCGAGTTTCATACGGATGATGAGCCGTGCCGTTACCTGTTTACATATCAAACCCACCAATCGTGGCATCTTGGCTCCGTACTCTAGTCCGCTCTTTGACACGAACTGTAGTAATGTCGTCCCCCGAGGTATCTCTGCTGCATGTCCGGCGGGTTCTCATTGCCAACCGTGGCGAGATTGCCTGTCGATGCATCCGGGCATGCAAGCAGTTGAACATCACCAGCGTCTCCATATACACCAAGTCCGACTCTACCTCACTTCATGTCAGCGAGGCCGACGAGTCAGCACCCCTAAAAGGAGAGGGAACCTCTGCATATCTTGACATGTAAGACCAAGAAAGCCCCGTCCCATGGATAGCGGGCGAAGCGAGTGCTGTGCCGTTGAAAAATCCTAATCAGTTGAGTGCAGCGATGATATCCTGGACATTGCAAAGCGGCTGAGAATCGATGCCATAATCCCGGGATACGGATTTCTTAGCGAGAATGTCGACTTTGCGCGGCGGGTTACAGAGGCTGGCATGGTTTTCGCCGGCCCGTCTCCTGAATCTATCTCAGAGATGGGCCTCAAGCACAGAGCGAGACACATTGCCGTCTCCTCAGGCCTGCCCGTGATCCCGGGTACAGATCTTCTGAGCACCGAGAATGAGGCTCTGCAGTCAGCTCAGGAACTGGACTTCCCGGTGAGTCAGAAGAAGCCGACCGCGTGTTGGTCTTTAGTCTCTAATATGCGCGGCTAGGTCATGCTTAAGGCCACGGGTGGCGGTGGCGGTATGGGCTTGCAGATTTGCTACAGCCCCGATGAGGTGTCATCTGCATTTGCCAATGTCCAGAGTCGGGGCGAGGCCCTGTTCAAGAATTCTGGGCTCTTCATCGAGAAGTTTTACCCAAGAAGCAGACATATCGAGGTCCAAATATTCGGCAACGGACAACAAGTTATCCATTTCGGAGAAAGAGAGTGCAGTATTCAGAGAAGGCACCAAAAGGTGAGTTCACACCTGGAAATATAGGGAAACAGACACAACGTGTCAGAAAGTGCGGAATTCATATTAAGTGATGAAAACTATAGGTCATTGAAGAGTCACCTAGCCCCTTTGTTGAAGCGCGTCCAGGATTACGAGAGCGCCTCACATCTTGTGCTACGCGGTATGCATCAGCGTTGAATTATAAATCAGCTGGGACTGTTGAGTTCTTGGTTGATGACGACACAGGCGACTTCTTCTTCCTCGAGATGAACACAAGACTGCAAGTCGAACACGGCATTACGGAACTGTGCTATCAGGTAGACTTGGTTGCCCTGATGCTACGACAGGCAGACTACGAGATGGCGGGACAGGTTGGCATCCCATCCTCCGAGCTCCTCATGTTACAGCGAGATGGACCCGTGGGCTCAGCCATAGAGGGACGTGTATATGCCGAGGCGCCCGCGAAGGGGTTTGCTCCCTGCCCTGGCCTTCTTCAAGAGGTATCCTGGCCGACCGACCCTGACTTTAGAGTCGACACATGGGTTCAATCCGGACAACAGGTAACGCCGTTTTACGGTTCGTATCATCTGACACTAAGACCAAATGGCCTGATTAACTAAGATACCGTAGATCCGTTGCTGGCAAAGGTAATTGTCCACACGAACTCCCGGCAAACGACGATTGAAAAGATGAGCTCTCTCATCTCCACCGAGGTTCGACTCAAAGGACTGACCACCAATCTGGACTACATCAACTCCATAATAAAAAGCGACTTTTTTGCTCGGGGTGCGACATTGACAAGCTACCTTGATAAAACCTTTAAATATAACCCACCCATTATCGAGGTGCTCACACCAGGAACCTTCACCACAATCCAGGACTTGCGAGGGCGACATGGAATCGGCCATGGAATTCCAAGAAGAGGTCCCATGGACTCGATATCGTCTCGAATTGCAAACATACTTGTTGGAAATGACGCCGGAACAGAGGTCTTGGAGGTGCTATTATCAGGGCCTGAAGTCTCCTTTTCATCTGATGCAGTCATCTCGGTTTGCGGAGCCAAGGCCCTGATTACAATCGACGGGATAGAGAAGCCAATGTGGTCGCGACAACTGGTCCGAGCAGGACAGATTTTACGCATAGGGTTTGTCTCAGGAAGCGGTTGCCGTTTGTATCTAGCCGTGAAGGGAGGTTTCCCAGATATTCCCCTCACCTTTGGGTCAAAATCTACGACGCCCAGTCTGAAGTTCGGCGGGACACAGGGGAGACAGCTTCAAACAGGTGATCTTCTAACCATCTCTGAAGAAAGCGCAGAGTGGGCTCGTCATTCATGGGAGTATACCCTCCCTTCAGATCTCCATCTGAGTTCAGATATCAAAGAGATCTATGTGATGCAAGGGCCACATGATTCTGACGATATCATGACCGCTCAAGATCGAGAAATGCTCTACTCTGCCTCTTGGAAGATTGGTCACAACTCTAACCGCTCAGGTATACGACTGACCGGCCCGAAACCCGAATGGGCCAGAAAGCATGGCGGTGCCGGTGGCGCACATCCTTCAAACTACCTAGAGTAAGTCACCAAGAAATCACTTACCAGACCTGATTGTTTCTAACTGCCCGAAACACAGTTATGGCTATCCATCTCCCGGTGGAGTGAACTGGGGCGGAGACTTCCCCGTCATATTCTCCAATGACAGCCCGAACATTGGAGGCCTGATCTGCTCGTCTACCGTCGTGTCCGCAGATCTGTGGAAGCTCGGCCAGCTTGCGCCCGATGCAGACATCAAGATGGTGCCTGTAAGCTATGAGACCGCAGTCGGACTAGCTGCAAAGGTGGATTCATATCTTCTCTCTGTTATACAGGCTGTTAAGCAGGAAACTACAGTTTCAGTTGGCAAAGGCCCCAACCTGAACGTGCCATCTTGTTTGATCGGCGGCATGAATGCCGTTCTTAAGTTCGTGGAAGCAGCTGGACCTCAGAGACCCAAGGTCATATATCGCCAGGTAAGCCATACTTTCAACAGCAAGCCCTGAGGCTATTCACTAACATTGATACTTCAGGGTGGTGATTGCTTTATCTTGATTGAATTCGGTGAGCAAGTACCGGATATCACAATCATCGCTCGCGTTAGGCTTCTGGTTGAAAAGCTTCAGGCACAGCAGCCAAGTCTGCTTCTCACCCCGCATATCAGCTGCCTCACTGTGGAATTCAATCCTCAAACAACAAGCCGAGAAACACTACTATCTTCACTCGTAGAGATTGAGACATCGATCGAGTTGAGCATGGATATGAAGATTCCCTGCCGCGAGTTCAGGTTGCCTGTAGTCATGGACCATCCAGCCATTGCTGAATGCATCCAGCGGTATATGGAGACTACAAGATCCAAGGCCGTGTATCTCCCTGACAACCTTGAATACCTCCGAAAGGCGAACGGGATAGACACAAGGAGGGAAGTCTTCAACTTTGTCCCGAAGAATGAGTTCCTCGTTGTCGCCGTTGGGTTCTTGTCTGGGGCTCCCATGATGTACCCCTTGACCTCCAGAGGGCTGGTCGGGCAAAAGTATAATCCGACTAGGGTTTCGACACCCAGTGGCACACTTGGGCTGGCGGGGTCTATTCTCTCTGGATATCCTGTCGAGCAACCTGGTGGCTACATGATGCTCGCGCGGACTCTGCCTATGTGGGACACATACGGCACGAAACCGGGATTCAGCAACCAGAAGCCATGGATTTTTGAACCATTTGACTTGATCAAGTTCTACGAGGTTTCGATTGAGGAGTACGACAGGCTGGAGGGTCAGTTCCTCGCTGGAAAATACCGGTGGGATATGTCGCATTCCACGTTCAACCTCAGGGCCGCATATGAGAAGCTGCACTCCTTTAAAGCTGACGCTGATCACACGGCATATCTTGAGCGTCAAAAGTCGGGCCTGGCAGAGCAAGTGGAGATTGAGAAACGATTTCATGAGGAATGGCAGGTCGCAATGTCGCATCACGATGTGATGAGCAATGGGGAGACTGAGAACCAAGGGGGAATGTCAATCACATCACCCATGGCCGCAAAAGTCTGGAAAGTAGAGGTGAAAGTGGGGGATGTTCTTGAGTCAGGAACAAAGGTCGCGGTTCTGGAGGCGATGAAGATGGAAGTGTCAGTGTATGCATCTGAAGAGCACGGAGGAGCAACTGTTGCGAGTCTCGTGAGGCAAGCCGGTGCTACAGTTAAGGCGGGAGAACCCATCATCGCGATCGAGATAGTGTAGTTGGTTTCCTCCACTACATGTACACTCATCCAGACTTGACGATCTATGGCACGCAATACTGAGCATTTGTCAAATATTCCAAGGATCTACTTCTCAGATTTAAGTTTTAACAAATGTAAAATAAGTATGATATTTGAAAAGATGGATTCGATTATTTAGCTCAACCATACATGAGAAATATTTCTGGAAGTTCTGCGTATGTCTTAGTATGTTAGGTCGCATATACCATTAATTTTTATTTTCGTCACATAATATTAAACTTTGTTCCCAAGTAGTATAGACCGTCTCATTTAGCAGGGTGCGGTGCCTACGTTGCCACTGGGCATCACTTCTCCAGCATTGCCACCCCAAGACCGTTGTCTCGAGTCCAGACTCATCCCAACATTCGGAAAGATGGCATCCTGATCACTGATGGCTGAGTTCTGAGTTTCTCATGTGACATGGGTGAGCGCGTGTCGCACTTCCATAATGGGAACAGTACTCGCGAAGCGGAGCCGGTGCGACAACCGGCCAGACAATAATTTTGTTGTTACGAGACGATAACTAGTTTCCCATTGTCAGTGACGGAAGGCTTCCAAGTCTAGAGATACTATGTATCTGATCGCGACCCGGGATTTGTCTGCCGGCTCGAGGCCACCCGCTTGGTTTCGACCCGCAGCAGACCTGTATACTACTCTTTCTCGGAAGTCATTGAACTAACTATGTCCTTTCTAATAACCTGCTGAGCGTCAACTGGAATTTCAGCCAAACCCAACTGCCTTCAAGATCCTTCAACCATCCCTGAACTTTTCTCAACTCGTATCACATTGACCCAGACACCATATCCGCGAAACTCCCCTTCGAGCTCACCGACACCTCCCTGTATCACCAGGAGTCTTTTGTTCATGGACAATGGGTTGGGGCCAAGTCCGGAAAGAGATTCGATGTTCTTGACCCAGGGAGCGAGGCCATATGGGCCTCGTGTCCCGACAACAACGCAGAAGATGTCGACGAGGCCATCAACTCGTCCTACCAGGCCTTCCTTGAGTATCGGGACCTCACACCCCGCAAGAGGGCGCAGCTCATCCTCGCCTGGCACAACCTTATCACGGCGGCTCGGGACGACCTGGCCAAGTTCCTCACCTACGAGACCGGCAAGCCCCTCTCTGAGGCCTACGCCGAGCTTGACTATTCCTTGGGGTTCTCGTGGTGGTTCGCAGGGGAGGCCGAGCGCATACACGGCTCCATCAGCACCCCGGCCGCTCCAGGCAGGAGAGTAATCGTCCTCAAGCAGCCCATCGGCGTGTCCGTAGCCCTCGTGCCCTGGAACTTCCCCATCGCCATGATCATGCGCAAGGCCGGCGCCGCCCTAGCCGCGGGCTGCACAATGGTGGTCAAGCCCTCCCCCGAGACCCCCCTGACCTGCCTCGCGCTCGCCGACCTGGCCGTCCGGGCCGGCTTCGCCCCGGGCGTCTTCAACGTGCTCACGACGTCCCTCGCCAACACGCCCTCGCTCTCTGAGGCTATGTGCGTGCACCCACTTGTCCAGAAGGTCACCTTCACCGGCAGCACGCGGGTTGGTAAGATCGTGGCGGGTATCTGCGCCCGCAACCTCAAGAAATGCACCCTCGAGCTGGGCGGCAACTGCCCCTTCATCGTCTTTGATGACGCGGACCTCGACCGAGCCCTGGCGCAGCTCATGGCGCTCAAGTGGCGCAACGCGGGCCAGGCGTGCGTCACCGCGAACCGCGTCTATGTCCAGGCGGCCGTGTACGACAAGTTCGCCGCCATGTTCGCCGCCAAGACGGCCGAGTTCAAAGTCGGGCACGGGGCTCTCCCGGATACGAGCTTCGGGGCTGTTACGACGACCGCAGGCCTGGACAAAGTCGAGGCGCAGGTTCGAGATGCCGTCGGCCAGGGCGCCAAGCTGGTGCTCGGCACTGGGAGGCGCTGTGGAGCGGATGATGGGGTGGAGAGAGGCTGGTTCATGTCACCGACCATCATGACGGGGATGACGGCCTCGATGAAGATGAGCTCGGAGGAGACGTTTGGCCCCATCATTGGCCTCTTCAAGTTTGATACGGAGGAAGAGGTGATCAGGCTAGCGAATGACACCAGCATGGGCCTGGCGAGCTATATATTTTCCAAGAACTCGGACCGACTGTGGCGGATGTTTGAGAAGCTCGAGGCTGGTATGATTGGATTGGTGAGTTATTTGCGCCATTCTAGGTTACACAGAAACTGACAATCGGTCAAGAACACCGGCAATGGCTCTGCAGCCGAGAGTCCGTTTGGCGGTATCAAGGAGTCTGGATATGGTAAGGAGAGTGGCAAGGATGTTGCCGTCAATGAGTATTTGATCGCCAAGACTGGCACTTTGACTATTGCATAGATCGTCGGATGGTTCTTTGATAGAGATTCAAGGTGATCAATGCATTAAAAGTCTAGTATTCACAAATCACCTATTCATTTAGGTCGTCGTATCTCATAGTGCAATATCCCTCTCATAACAACCTTTCGTAAAAGAATAATATCATGTTTAATTCAGCACAAAGTAGGAAAATGAAAACATATATTTTAATAAACATTAAATGTAAGATCTAATCAATGGTCCGGTAGTCGATACGTTCAAGATGGCAAGAACTGACATGGTGAATTCTTGACAGCTACATAGCAACTAAGTAGTTACTGCCAAACCTCAAGGCATAGTTTGGAATTCGCTTGACCGAACACGTCCCGATCCAACCAGGCACAAAAAAAGATTAATAATAGGGCCCATCTGCAATCAGATTGCACACGATCCTCGCTACCGAGCCGGGTGTCTCCTCTGAGATTCCAGAATAACAAGTCGAGGACCGCTATGTTTCGTACTAGATCTGTTTGGGAAATGCGTGCCGCGAGCGCGGGTAACTGATGATAAGCAGCCGCTACGATGGAGACAGCATCGTGACCCGTTCCTCTGCTCTAGCTTAGCGACGATCCACATCTCCCGCCCTTGGCTCCGTGCCTCGGAAGGGGACAATAGATGGAACATATATCTGGTTCAATATTCAAGAACATGAGTATGCTTGATTCCAAAGTAGCACCATTCGTCGTTGTAATATCCTCGATCCTTGTGCAAAGACGCAATGGCCCCATCCGCAGAAGTAGACGAGATTACCATCACCTCCAAGGCCTTGACTCTATCCCCAAACACGCAATATTGGGTTGAGAAGCGGGCTCAACATGTCCGTGGAGGCTTCCCGGCCTTTCCTGTAAGCCGATTCTCATATCTTTGGCCATGGGTACTGATTAACTGACATCACGAGCAAACAGGTGGCTGTGGAGAGTGCCAAGGGCCACATCATCACCGATGTCGATGGCAAGGACTACATCGACTTCATTTCACAGTTTGCGGTCATGAACTTTGGCTACTCCCACCCAAATATCACCAAGGCCGCAGTCGACCAGATATACAAGATGCCTCTCAGCGGAACTGCACACATCAGCCCTCTGTACGCTCAGTTCGCCGAGCGCATCACAAAGGTAAGCGAATGATCCTCCTTCCAAATTTGATGATTTCCTTGCATTGACACGTTCGTCTGGGGGGGGGGGATAGAAATTCGGCTTCGCCTCGATCGTGACCATGCTCAGCGGTTCCGAGGCCGTCGAGTCGGCCGTCAAGATTGCCCGCAAGTGGGCCTACACCAAGAAGAACATTCCCGAGAACGAGGCGTGGATTCTCACGACGGACCAGTGCTACCACGGTCTGACGTTGGCTACTATGCCACTGGCTACTGTTGTTGCGAAGAGTGAGTCTCATGTTCCGTCGTCCCTCTCCAATTTGTATCTTGGCCGCGAATAGAGACTTACACGACAAACTGTAGACTTTGGCCAACACGTTCCCAAAGTTGGGCCGTTTACCCCTACTGGTGACAAGCTGATCCAGTACGGCGACATTGATATTCTGGCCGAGACTTTCAAGCAAGACGGGCACAGAATCGCTGCTTTTCTTGTCGAGGCCGTTCAGGGATGGGCTGGGTAAGTTTGACATGCATACCTTTCTGGTATTCCAGACTCGTATACGGTGGTGTTGACTCGTTCTATCCTAGTACTCGATTCCCGCCAAAGGGATACTTGAAAGCTGTGCAGGATCTGTGCAAAGAGCACAACATCCTGCTCATCTTCGACGAGGTCCAGGCTGGATACGGCCGCACGGGCAAGGACTTGTCCTACCAGCATGCCGAGGGCGTCCAGCCTGACATGGTCACTCTCGGCAAGGCCGTCACAGGAGGTGAGTAGCTGACAATTGCAGTTCACCTTTATAGACAGAGAACGTGCTGACCTCGAACCAGGCTTCTACCCCATGTCCGTGGTCATGGGCAAGGGCCACGTCATGGACGTGGTCCAGAAGAGCGAGATCCTCTCGACCTTTGGCGCCTGCCCTGTCGCCTGCGCCGTAGCCCTCGCGGCCCTCGACGTCCTCGAGGAGGAGAAGATCTCGGAGCGAACCCACCGGCTCGGGCTCTTGCTCGAGAAGACGTTCAAGGAGCAGAACCCCCCGCACGTCATTGAGCTGAGGGGCGGCGGCCTCTTCTACAGCCTGGTCATTGACGAGTCGACGGCGGGCGTAACGGCGCGACGGGCGGCGGCTCTGACCACGCTGCGCGGCGTGCTGGTCGGCTGCGGCTTCAACAGACTGCGGTTCAGCCCGCCGTTGACGATTACGGAGGAGGATCTGGTCAAGGCTATTAGGGTTATCTCACAGGCTTTGAGGGATATTGAGTACCTGGGTGATTTTCCCGGGAGCGAGGTTATCAATTAGATCATGGGAGGCCTCTGTAGGTCACAATTCGAACTAATCTTCTCGTTTCACCAGGAAGAGAAGGTTGGATACAGTTGCGTCAGATCACAGGTGAAGAAAACCGAGCAATGTGAAATTGAACCATGATGAATAACTTTAATTTCGGCAATCTGACTAAAACACAAAGTGGGAGGCTCGAGAATCCAAGACGTGTATGTAATGATCGCTGCCCAAGAGGCTTGTATTCTCTCCAAGCCCAGGCTGCGACGAGGCGCCAGGCAACAGCTCCAGCTCATCACATTGGGACCAGATTTCCTCTGTCAGCTTCATCATCATATCCCTCGCCCTGTCCCGGTACATTTCCGTCATCTCAGCGTGCTTGCGCCGCACCCAGTCCCTGTCCTCTGGCGTCAAGGCCTCGCGGGCGGCCATGTAGAAGGGGAAAGGCAGCGAGGAGTCGGGACCGCAGCCTGCTGGGAGGCGGTCAATGGCGGCAAACAGCTTGCGCCTCAAATACTGAACACGGTGCGAGGCCGTCGCGTCCCGGAAGACTCTCCGCGCAAGCAGCAGGCAAGAGGTCCAGTACCAGCACTGGCTCAGCGTATCAAGGTTGTGGTGGTGAGAATCCGGTGCGGATCCAGGCCTCCTTTCATCAATGTTTCGACTGAGCATCAGCACCGAGTACCTCTGCCACCACTGACGTAGATTTGCCTCCATTTCGGAGGCCTCGTCGAGGATTTGCGAAGTCTCCCGGGCGCCGGTGGCCAGATCATCAGCCAAGTAAGAAGTTTGGGCCAGGAATGTGAGAACGCGCTGAGGGCAGCCTGTCAACTCCCGAAACGAGGGCTCGGAGCTGTCGATGCCATCACACGGCTGATACAGGGCGAACTCGGGAGGGGCAATAGGCTTTCGGCGGCGAAGAAAGGAGAGGAGGACATCGATTATGGCGAATCTCTGGACCAGAAACCGGGCGTAGTAGCTTTCCGGTAGGCGCTCAACGTAATCCAGGTCTCTTATGAGTTGATACGCTCTATTCAGATGGGACTCGGCATTTTCACTCCCCAACATGACCTCGGTGACGATCTGCAGGAGGAAGGACGCCAGTGTGACCTCCTTGAGGGAGAGGACAGAGAAGTTTTCTTGGGGGGCGACGATTCCTCGTAATGAGCCGTGTACTTTGTTCTTCTCTTGCTCTAGGAAAGATAAAGCGTTCTTTAGTAGAAACTGAGCCTGGGAAGAGCGGCTAGCTATCAATTCGCTGTGAACCCTGCCGTGATTGTACATGCTTACTGTAGATATGTAAAGAATCGTGTGCAGAAGCAACGGGTAAGACAAGGAGATGGCGCAGATCCGCCTATACGGGTTTTGCGGGCTATCGTGTGCCGGTATTCGGCCAGATTCGTGGTGAATATCTACAGCCATATGGATTAGAATTATTCAGCAGGGAAGCATCATCAGAGACGAGTATGAGGAATACTAACAGTAGGTGTAGGCGATCTCCTCACTTGGAGAAGAGAGGGCCGTTGATAAGAATGAGCCAAACCCGTGGGTCAGCTCCCAGCCCTCTCCATCTTGCGGGGATTCCACAGCTTCCGAGGCTACGCCATAGTCGGAGGCATTGCCATCTCCCATCACTGATCCTGCTACTCCAGAAGCTTGGTTGGGCAACAAAGACAAAGAATCAGGCGGAGCTCCAGCCAACGATACAGCTTCAGTCGGAACAACAAGCTCATTAGATGCTGCAAAATCCCAAGAGCCCAAGTCCATCAGTGATGGGATCCATGAATCAAAGGCCGAGTCAAAGAGCAAGTCAGCAACACTAGAGTCATTGATGGCCAGAGACTCTGGGGGGGCGGGAGGCGCGGGGCAATCCACATTAAGAGCCGGACCGGTGACCAAACTGTCCTGTTGACCGACATCCTCCTGAAGAAAACTTAGCTCCTCCTGATGAAAGGGGCCCTGTCCGTTATCGGGCGGCAAGGTTGGCCGCCTGGGAGCAGGAGCCTTTGGCTGGTTGACGGCCGCCCATCTCAGGTCGCCGCCGTACTCGCACAGCCGGTTACTCTTGTGGCACACGGCACAGACCGGCTTCTGCTCGTCGCACTTCTTGTGGCGGCGGCGGCAAGTCAAGCATCCTGCATAAAGTGAGTTGGTGTCTCTTACTGGGAGTGAGGGTTCGTACCGGATCGTGACCTGACCCCAGTCGATGGTTTCTCGGGCCGTCGCCTATTATGTTCCATAATCCGACAGAAATCTTGATCCCCACAGGTGTGTATGAGAACCGATCGGAGCGGTGGGGTGTGAATCAATGCCCTACAGACACGACATATAATCTGGGGATGGATGGATGAAGGCAGGGAACTGGGGTTTGCCCGCTTTTGTTTGCAAGTGGAAAACTACTAAGGGTGGAGATAACACTGGCCCACTTTCTCCAACCAATCCTTGATCAGTCTTAATGAGTGGCCAGTAGCTAGGTTTAGTAGTAGTTAGCTGTAGCCCTAACTAATCCGTGTTCTATCGCGACGAGCAATTGCTGCGGCCCCGACCTACCTGTCCTCCGTCGAGACAAGCGATCGTTATGAGCCTGACTGACCTGTCTTCTATCGCGATGAGCAATTGCTGAAGAAGACCTGACTCGGCTGTCTTCTGTTACAACGAGCGATTGCTTTGTAGCAGACCCAGATGTCCGAGGAATAGCCGTAACCAGACCTGACTAATACCGGAGAGAGTTTTGATAGAAAGTTAAAGCAAAAGAAGAAGTCAGACCCAACAACTCAACACAATAAATACGAAAGGTTAAAAAAAAGCTTTACTAGCCCAAGGCTGTAGTTATACGGCAGAAAATTCTGTAAACCTTCATACCGATGACTCGCTTGCCGTCAGGACGAGCTGCGCGTCGAATGACTACTAAAGCTGCCCTCTTCACCTGGCTTCACACTTGTCTTGTATCACGCCAATCCACACACTTCAACCAAGCGCGAATCTTTTCAGATACCAACCAACCCCAGACCTGACTAATAAGAAGCTGAAGCTGAGTCCTGACTAATCAGAAGCCAGCAGCTGCAACCTTCCAATCAGCAGAAGTAAGATTTCATAGCTTCTGATTGGTCAACAGTGTTTGATTTTACATTAAAAATCAAACTATTTTGAGATTTCAACGATTTCAATTGGCCAATAACATACTCCCAGCCAACTATTAAATAGCCGAACTAATTTTAGCCCTATGTATTGCACCAGTATTATATCTTGCCCAGGCTGTAAGTCTCGATTTTAATACTTTCCTATAACTAAAAAACAGGCTATATAACTCTGCTTCCCAGTACTACTAAAACTATAATACAGGATATACTATATAATATTACTTATTAGAAATCTTAAGGATTTATAAAAGACTAATATCTGGTTATTAGATTAACCTATAGATATATCTCTATTATTATATCTACTCTACCTAGTTTAGTTAATCTTCTAGTATTATATAGTAATATTTTAGGTATCTAGAAGTAAATAAGTTTAGCAAAGGAGAATTTAATTCCAGCGAGTTAGATATATATAGCTAGCTGCTTAAAGCTTTTAAGCTCTTAATTCTCCTACTAATAGTATTCTCAGACCTCTTTATTATTAAGTAACTAACTCTGACTTAATACCTATCCCCCTAATAGTACTATATCTATATACTTACTGCTATAGATAATAAGTTATAGCTTAAGTATCTTAATACTAAGGAATATAGTTAGATATCTCCTCTTGTTAGGATAGATAGTAACTTTCTAACTGAGCTTAATTAGTTAACTTAATACTTTACTCTATCTAATATTTAACTATACTATAATCAGCCTGAAGATATCTTAATTAAACTCTCTAGGCGTATTATTATAAAGAACTATAATAGCTAGTATATTAACTACTTCTATAGGAAGTTTAAATATAGATACTGCTAGATACTTATAAGAAAGTAACTTAATATACTGAAGAAAGTAATCCAGGCCTAGATATTCCCTCCTCCGGGGATATATATCTATTAACTATATAGTATTATTATAGAGGCTGATAGATTTATAGGAATACTGTTTATCTGGATTAATAATAAGAGTATACTTTTAGAGGCTAGAACTGCTAAGAGCTCTCCTAAACTGAGATAATACTAGATAATACAGATTAGTAGGTTACTGGATATACTGTATAGTAATAGTATTATATAGTATATTACTAGTACAGAGAGAGTCTTAATAGATAAGGATAATAATACTTAAATTATAGATTTTAAGAGCAGCTTAATAATATCCGGGATTAGTTAGTATAAGCCTAGGATAGTAGAAGAGAATAAACAGGGTTTAGTAGAGATTATAGATATCCTTAGTTAATAGTAACTGATAAAATTATTTAACTAAGAGAAATTCAGAATAGTCTAAAAGCACTAATAGAGTTAATAGAACTAATATATCTATTTATTTTATAACTCAGAATAGGCTTTTATAGCTGTACTAGTATTTTATCTGGTACTTTAAAGGGTTTCTGGTATTTACAGTTAAATTCTGAATAACCTGGCTAGCTGTAGATACTACAGCTATAAACTGGAGACTGCCTAATATTTCAGGAGGAGGAATAAGTTCTTATATATTTATTATACCGGTAGCTAATACCTCGATAAAGAGATACTGGGCTATACCCCTAATACTAATAGATAATCTAGGCTTTATTCTGTTATATAGCAATTAGCTTTCTGGACTGGCTGGTCGTGGTGACGGAGAGTCTTCATCTACCACCTCATCGTATGGACTCGGCACGATGCTGGGGTTGAAATGGGTTGGTAAAGGCGCAATGGCCGTGATAATTTGCGCCAACGTATGTGGTGGTGAAGAGTTCATAGTGCTTCTCTCCGGCTTGGAAGCAGTAGGCATACTCGGGAGGATCTTAAGAAGACCTATTTTAGTAGAGACGAGGTGAAAGTTGGAAAAGAAGAGGAGAAGGAAACCAACTTCCACTGAGATTTCAATTTAACAAGAGTAGCAATATCGCCATTCTCTATGGCGAATGAATTCGCTAAGCTCATCTGAGCAAGAGGTTGCTGCGTAAGTCTGCTGCTGACCACAAGTGGGATTACTGCTTTTAATACCGTGGGCTCACCAAGCTACTTTTGATCGCGAATATTAAAGGAATAAGCAGTCAGGCTTTTGTGAAGTTCAGAATAAGTAAGTTACAGTTATAAAATATAAATTAAAGCTCGGATATAGAGTTTCTTTAGGGAAAAGTAATTTATAATATATCTATATTATCTATAATATAATCTATAAGTAAGCTAATTATATAAGTAAGCTAATTACTTCTATCTATCCCTTATATAATAAAGTTAATTAAAATAATAATAGCTAATTATCTATAATAATAATACTAGAAATTAATTTATCAGATTTCTCTCTAGTCTCCCTATAGATTTAGATATTATAATCAGGCTTTCTATAATTATTATATTATAAAGTCTTTATATAAACCTACCCTTCTTAATTACTACTTCTATAGTTTTCCCCTTTTAGCTATTTATCTATATCCTTCTAATCTAATAGATCTATTCTATTCTATATAGTTAGAGACCCTTTAAGCTATATATAGCTTTTTTTAGCTCTTTAGTACTTACTTAGTATCTTATTTATTATATAAAGATTATAAATCTTAGTATATAAAAGAGCTATTTAGTATATTATTATAATTACCTTCTTTATAAATTAATCTACTATAGCTAGTATAGAGATTAGGAAGTTATTTTAATAAGCTAAAATTTAAGATTTAATATACTTAGCCTATATATTTATCTTATATATAGTCTATAGTATCTTTAGAATCTAGAGCTATTTTATCTTAAATAGAATCTCTAGTAGTATTAGTATTTATAGTATTATATCTAGCTTTAAAAGAACTCTCTCTAGATTATATAGTATTAGACTAGATCTAATAAAGCCTATCTAGATATTCTTCTCTATAAAGAAGTAGAAAAAGATTATATAAAAAGCAGAGAGAAATTTAAGCTTACTAATATAGATAATATATATCTATATTAGACTTTTAATCTCTTATCTATATAACTACTTAAGTAGTCTAAAGTAGCTAATATCTAGTAGCTAAAGAAGATAGAAGGAATAAGAAGGTATATAGACTATAATAATCTTCTACTCTTAATAATAGGTCTTAAAGTTAGCTAAATAGTAGTTCTTATAGCTATTAAGGATTAATATTTAATATACCCTTTTTATATAAGGAGCTATATAGGAGTTAAAGTACTTAATCTAATCCAGATTAATCTTATTAATAGTCTAGCTATTCTTAATTATTATAAGCTGCTAGTTATATAGCAGATTATATTTCTAATACTAGTTCTTAAAATAATATTAGATAGTTAGAATAATAAAAGAAGGGATAGTCTAGCTAGCTATATTTACCTCTTAGATTATAATTACTTATTTCTAGTTACTAAGCTAAACTAGCTTAGTTTTTATATAATCCTCTAAGGTTATAACTACTATCCTAGGGAAAATAATATTTATTATAAAGCTAGTTTTATTAAAGTTATATAGATCCTTATTTAGAATACTATATTTTATCTTTAGATTATATATAAGACTAAACTAAGATATAATAATCTTTAGATCTTTATATTTAGCTCTCTAATAGTTATATTTCTAAACCTAGTATATATAGAGCTCTAGTTACTATTTAATAAAATTAGAAGTCTAATTAATATTAATAAGGGGTATATTATATATATATAGTAGGATATTAGCTATTTCTTTAATACTATATATCCTAGGAGGAAATATATATATAGATAGCTTAAGTATATATAAGATAATAGCTTTCTCTTTAGATTTTAATAGATTTATTAATTTTAATTAAGTATTATATTTTACTATATAATTAGTATATTAATTATAAAGGGTTATATATAGAACTTAATAGATTTTTACTATTACTCTAATATTTAATTTCAGGTTTTAATTAAGAGCTTAGATTATAAGAATAATATTTACTTTATATAAAGTTATATTTATTTTATAATAGAAAGTTATTTAATTATAAAAAGGAAGTTCTAATTTCTAAATAGAAGTAATTAGCTTACTTATATAATTAGCTTACTTATAGATTATATTATCTATATTATAGTAACTATTTATAATTTACCTAATATAGTAGTAATATATTAAAAATTTTTATTAAAACTTAAAAATATATTTAAGATTAATTCTCT